CTGAGTTTTATGGGTTACTACCCGCGTGTCATAATGTTGATCCTTTGTTCAAACTTAAAGTATCAGAAGTTATATGACTGAGAAGATGACACTGTACTGGACACATTCTGAGACAAGAGAAACAGGGAATCGCCGAACACGCAGTAAAATGGGAAACTGAGAGACTCATAAAACGAGAACGTCCAAGAAAAGCCTTAACTGGAACGCTGGGGAGAGAAGCAGAAGGTGCTAGCCTGGATTTCATCCATGATACCTCAGTGATTGAAAGGTTAGATCGTAATGGGGTATTAGAATGCGAATGAATGAATGAATGAATGAACGAATGAATAGGGCTACCGGTCTTTGAAAACATGAATCTCACTATTCAAGCTGATGCGCCACTAGAGTGAAACTGATCGTTTACTTTTTTATCTGATACCCTCATCGAATAGTGAATAGAATTATCGGTACTAATCACGAAATTCACGCCATCTCGCTCGGGCGCCAGATTTAGTGGCCGTTCCAGTATGTTCTAGGGGTGTTATGAGATGCCTTCCTTTCCCGTCTATACACACAGTGGCGAAGACTAGCTCGGGTTCGTTCGATGTGGTCGAGACCTGTCTCCTAGACGAAAATGCGCAGCTTTCTCTTTCAACTTGTCTTTTTTTTTCTTGTTCTTTTTCTTTTACGACTGTCGTTTCTCGAATGTGTTGTGGTTGTGAGTAGCTCATTCAAATTCCGATGACACCAGTTACTATCCATCTCGTCTTTTCCTTGAGTGTTGAGCGTCGGCCAGATTCCCCTTGTAACTCCTCATAGCTCCATTCTTCTCAGACCTTGATGATCTATCTGTGCCTCCGTATTGTTCACTCGCTCCCAAAGGGCCCTCAAAACATCTAGCGTGTTATATATCAGGACCGGCCAGTCTATCAGTCGGCTCGTTTTCCAACACACTGGCACCACCCAGATACAATTTCCAAAGGACGTTAACTACTCAGGACCTCTGAAGCGATGCTTGCCGCTCTGCATGGAGCATGCCTGTCTCAACCTGAAAGGACATTTTTTTTTAATGCATTTGCCGTACATAAATAAATAATTTACAGGAGTAAAAGTAAAGTCGTTTTAGGTAAAAAGGGCTAGACCTATATTTTATAGACCAAACGGCACTAGGTGGGTGATGTGATCAACATCACGCCGGCCACCTTTACTTCCCAGGACTGTACCTGTTATCCACTCAAGGCTGGGTCGACCTGGGAGTCAAAGCCATTTTTGATAAAAGACCCGCCCCCGTCAGGACCTGAATCCACGACCTTACGATCCGCAGGCGGGCGTCTAACCACCAGACCACAGAGGCTCCCCAGTTTAACGGTACCGCTTAGCTCCGGTGCAACATTTGTAGGGAGTCGATATAGTAGTAGTAGTAGTACCTTTTACCCAACCAGGACATCACACAAGCGATAAACACCCGGTGATACAAAGTGCCACCGTGTGGATGAGGATCACCCGTGGAGAGGTCCCGGAAATCGCTTTCAGCCATTAGACCATATTTATGGTCGGGCTATATTGCGGCCCCTAGCAAGAGTCAGGGTGGGGCTTTAAATAACGAAAAATGGCATCCAACAAAGGGATGACGAGATGCACACTGGGAGTTGATGTAGCCACAGACGCTCTAAATAGTACTACACGCTCCTTCTTTGTTAACAAATGTCTTAGCGGTAGATGATGACTTCTCCTGCAATAGCATGGTTTCACATACCTCGCTTTCTTCTTCTCATGCGTCCATTCTTGCTGGATCGACAAATAATTTCTAAGTCTTGCAACCTTACACACCTTATTTCATCTAATATGGAAGCTTCCATCAGCATTCGTGCGTAAACGGTTCCAGTGAGGCAAGCAGGAAACTTGGGGGAAAGCTTAAGGACATATAACAGTCAACATTAACCTAGAACACCTATTGCATAATTCAGCCAAACCTTCCAGCTCAGATTCGCAATCCTTTGTACGCTGAGGTTTTTCAGAGAGACTCAAGTTCCCAGCTTTAAGAATCCACGGCAAGAGGCCATTAAAACTCCAGATATAAACGTTTTCGAATGAAGCTTTCTGAGGTCTCCAGGGAAACAGAACGCATGGCGTTTTGAGAATAAACTGTATTATCGCACTGACTGGCCAGTTAAACTTCTCGTGGCGAAGTCATCTGCAGCATGAAACAAAAACCCCTCTGGCAATATGTTTGCAATCATTAATTCATAAGTGAAATGGCTTTCCCTTGCAGCCTAATGTAACGATGTACAGGTTCGTGTATCCCCTGTATGAATATCTTTCTTGTTTTCGATTCGTAAAATATTAATAATTCATCTTTTTTAGAGCTATCTGTGTTTGGCGGGCTAGAGTAAAGGAAGATGGCGATTTGTTGCGATAGTGGGGGAGATGGTGTCTTGTGCTGGCAATAAAGCGAGTGGGTAGTCGTTGTTTATGCATTAGTTATGCATCATAAATGTGGAAGTATTGCCGGGTAGTAATGAGATATTAGTGAGTTTTAAAATATGAAGTAATGTCAATTAATTGTGATTATGAAACGAACTTTGATGGAACACGAGGCTTGCGTGTGCTGTTGACAATGATGGGGAGCCGATATGGGGTAAAGAAACAAAGAGAAAAGGTTATGTAGAACAAGACGCAATATCAACGACAGAAGTAGAAGATGATGAACATATGAGCAAAAAGAAGAGGTGGCTGGGAAGAAAAGATGAGGAGGGGCACTAAGAAAAAGAGAAGAAGAAGGACAGGATCAAGAAGACCGAGGAAAGGGGAAGAAAAGAAGAAGAAAGAGGAGTAGTAAGAGACCAACAATGTTGTACTAGTTGTAGTGAAGATGATGATGGTGATGACGGTGATAAAGAAACTAACCAAAGAAAAGAAAGGAAGAGGTGTAGAAGAAAGCAAAGGGAAGTAGCATCTACAAAGGCACGATGATTATGAAGACCACGTCGATGAAGAAAAAATGTTGGGATGTCCACAAAGAAGAAGAGAGGGTTCAGAAGAAGAAAACAGTAGTGGCTGGAAGAGAGAGAGAGAGAGAGAAAGAGAGAGAGTGTGTGTGTGTGTGTGAGAGAGAGAGTGTGTGAGAGAGAGAGAGAGAGAGGGGGGGAGAGAAGAAGAAGAAAAAACCGACAAGAATTGTAATGGAGAAAAAAAAGAGAAAAGAAAATTTAAGAAAGAAAAGTGAAAAGAAAAGCAGAAAATGATTGTGCTGGTCTGAACGAGAAAGGAGATATAAAAAGGAACAAAGGAAAAGAGCATCGAAAGATAATGCCGATGATTATGATGATGAGGATAATGACGATGATGATGTTGTTGATATTGTTGATGATGACGATTATAATGACGATTATAACGATGAGGATGATGATGATGATGATTTTGATGATGATGATCATGATGATGATAATGGTGACGTTGATGATTATGATGATAATGACGATGATGATAGGGATGATGATGATAATAGTGATGATGATTATGATGATAATGACGATGAGGAGGATGATGATGATGTTGATGATCATGATGATGATTATGATGGTGATGCTGATGACGATGTTCATGACAATGACGATGATAATGACGATAATGATGATGATGATGATGATGATGATGCTGATGACGATGTTGATGACAATGACGATGATAATGAGAATAATGATGATGATGATGATGATGATAATGATGATAATGATGATATTGGTGATTATAATGACGATGACGATGAGGAAGGTAATAATAATAATAATAATAATGATAATGATGGAAACACGGAAAGGTAAACAATAAATGGTCCCTTCTATACATGTTTGGGGAGATGTCACCTTAGCCCCCTTACAATTTTTTTTAATGGGGGGGGGGGGGGGTAAGGGGCACCAATAACGAAAGAAAGAAAGAAAGAAAGAAAGAAAGAAAGAAAGAAAGAAAAAGAAAGAAAGACAGAAAGAAAGAAAGAAAGAAAGAAAGAAAGAAAGAAAAAAGAAAGAAAGAAAGAAAGAAAGAAAGAAAGAAAGAAAGAAAGAAAGAGAGAAAGAAAGAAAGAAAGAAAGAAAGAAAGAAAGAAAGAAAGAAAGAAAGAAAGAAAGAAAAGAAAGAAAGAAAGAAAGAAAGAAAGAAAAGAAAAGAAAAGAAAAAAAGAAAGAAAGAAAGAAAGAAAGAAAGAAAGAAAAGAAAAGAAAGAAAGAAAAGAAAGAAAAGAAAGAAAGAAAGAAAGAAAGAAAGAAAGAAAGAAAGAAAGAAAGAAAGAAAGAAAGAAAGAGAAAGAAAGAAAAGAAAGAAAGAAAGAAAGAAAGAAGAAAGAAAGAAAGAAAGAAAGACAGAAAAAGACAGACAGACAGACAGACAGACAGAAAGAAAGAAGAAAGAGAAAGAAAGAAAGAAAGAAGAAAGAAAGAAAGAAAGAAAGAAAGAAAGAAAGAAAGAAAGAAAGAAAGAAAGAAAGAAAGAAAGAAAGAAAGAAAGAAAGAAAGAAAGAAAGAAAGAAAGAAAGAAAGAAAGAATAAAAGAAAGAAAGAAAGAAAGAAAGAAAGAAAGAAAGAAAGAAAGAAAGAAAGAAAGAAAGAAAGAAAGAAAGAAAGAAAGAAAGAAAGAAAGAAAGAAAGAAAGAAAGAGACAACATTGTGATATAATGACGATGACGATGAGGAAGGTAATAATAATAATAGTAATGATAATAATGATGGAAACACAGAAAGGTAAACAATAAATGGTCCCTTCCATACATGTTTGGGGAGATGTACAATTTTTTTGATGGGGGGGGGGGGCACCAATAACGAAAGAAAGAAAGAAAGAAAGAAAGAAAGAAAGAAAGAAAGAAAGAAAGAAAGAAAGAAAGAAAGAAAGAAAGAAAGAAAGAAAGAAAGAAAGAAAGAAAGAAAGAAAGAAAGAAAGAAAGAAAGAAAGAAAGAAAGAAAGAAAGAAAGAAGGAAAGAAAGAAAGAAAGAAAGAGACAACATTGTGATATTATAATAACATAATAGCTATATTTCTCACAGAGCTTTGGTGACCCCATGCAACTCTCAAACGGCCGGCCAGGAACTGTTGGCTCACTTCCCCCAGTTTCTGCCCCAGATGAGATTCCCTTCCTTCTTCCCACGCCTACCTCGGGAACTGCCAGCAGCATCGATATCATTCCCCCCAGTGAGCACCCACACTCCGGTGCCGACTCTGTTTTTCACTCTGGCTGACCTCGACCTTTGTCTGTACGGCAATTCTTCTTGGCTGATTGGTGGATACTCCGGCGCGAGCAAGACAAGGGCGTATGCCTTCAGCGGGATCAGAGTCAGTCAGTACATGAACGGTAAGCATTGGGATGTTGTTTGTGAATAGTTACACAATGAACAGGGACAATATTGGTGACAGGGGCGTCTACACGAAGAAAACATTTAGGAGAAAGGGCTCAATCTTCTTACACATTTTGTGGCGACACCCTTAACGGTGCCTTATTTAAGTGCTCAATGTTGATGATGATAATGATGACAGTAATGCTTATAATAATAATAATATCAATAATAATAAAGCTGTGGATAGACAGGTCTGGTGATCTCTCTAGCAAACTTCTACACCCCCAAAGTAGAAGAGAAAGAACTAAGTAAGCAATTAAGTAGAAGTAGTAGTAGTAGTAGAAGTAGTAGTAGTAGTAGTAGTAGTAGTAGTAGTAGTAGTAGTAGTAGTAGTAGTAGTAGTAGTAGTAGTAGTAGTAGTAGTAGTAGTAGTAGTAGTAGTAGTAGTAGTAGTAGTAGTAGTAGTAATAGTAGTAGTAGTAGTAACGTGCTTGGTTGCCAATAAATATCATAAAATGTCGAATGAATGAATGAATTTCTACCCCACTAGGACATCACAAAAGCGATAAACACCCGATGACACAAAGTGCCACCATGTGGGTGAGGATCCCCGTGGAGAGGTCCCAGAAACCGCGTTCAGACAATTGGCCATATTTATGTTCTGCCTATATTGCGGCCCCTGGCAAAAGCCAGAGTGGGGCTTCAAATAACAAAAAATCATGTCCTAAAAAGGAGGTAAAGATATTAATATATAAAATGTCGACATATGCACTGACTTTTGAAACGGTCAGGATGCTGTTTTGTTTTTAGTGGCCGTCTGAAAAGCAGTAATCAACGATCATTGGTTCTATGTATCTATCTGGTGACAGCAGTTAGTAATGTCAGTTATGTAAACCATGATTAACTTTGGCTCTCATACGCTGCTTGTAGACACTGCTTGTCTGCTCTACTCAATGAACCGGTTAACCAGCAGATTGGTTGAAGATGTTTCTATTGAAATTACATAATATCGTTGGCACAGGATGTCTTTTATGAAAATAATTGTCGTAATTGTAATGGTAATCCTAGTTTCAGCTTCATAGCGAACGGGTCCCCCCTCCCCACCCCATAGTTGCTTCGCTCCTGTGCCAACGAAAAACACACAATGTTCATCACAGTCCCTTGTTGAAAGATTGACAGACTGCTATCTCAGCATTTGCACTAGCATACACAAGCATTAAAAGCATACGGTAGCTATCAGAAGTGCTAACACAGACATTCCGACATTAGAAATGCAGTTCCTCATCGCCGGTAGCAGAGGTAACCAACAAATCAGCAGTTCCACACGCGATCAATTTTAATCACATAGGGCACCATCGATATTTCGACGACAGGCCACGCACCATTTTCTGAATCTACATTTCACAACACCACGTTGGTCACCGTCGAAAAACATTCCAAATTAAATCCGCACCTCAGAGTGTCTCACCATGCACTCAACTCAGTAGCCGGGCGACAAAACTATATCCTTTCAGTCTACAAATGGAGCAAAAATGCAACGGCCACCGTCTAGCAGAAGCAAAGGCTTTGCCACAACTCAAAACAGTGACCGTGCCTAGCGTCCATTTTGACAGGTCGTGATTAATTAACTGCGGCCTGTACACGTTTTAGCTCAGGCACTCCTTCCACCTAGTGTCGAAGTATGGGTTTACTAAAACAGAACTAAAGAATAATAAAGATTAACATATTCTTCATTGAAAAGGACAATTCTGTCTGGTTTGACATAACTTCTTTATTCATTTTGAAAATTAAGCAATCATTTTAATCTGCCATACTACTTTGAGAAAGGTACGAACTGTTTATTTTAATGGTCTCTCTCTATCTATCTATCTATCTATCTATCTATCTATCTATCTATCTATCTATCTATCTATCTATCTATCTATCTATCTATCTATCTATCTATCTATCTATCTATCTATCTATCTATCTATCTATCTATCTATCTATCTATCTATCTATCTATCTATCTATCTATCTCTATCTATCTATCTATCTATCTATCTATCTATCTATCTATCTATCTATCTATCTATCTATCTATCTATCTATCTATCTATCTATCTATCTATCTATCTATCTATCTATCTATCTATCTATCTATCTATCTATCTATCTATCTATCTATCTATCTATCTATCTATCTATCTATCTATCTATCTATCTATCTATCTATCTATCTATCTATCTATCTATCTATCTATCTATCTATCTATCTATCTATCTATCTATCTATCTATCTATCTATCTATCTATCTATCTATCTATCTATCTATCTATCTATCTATCTAGATGTCTATCTGTCTGTCTGTCTGTCTGTCTATCTGTCTGTCTGTCTGTCTGTCTGTCTGTCTGTCTGTCTGTCTGTCTGTCTGCCTGTCTGTCTATTCTATCTTTTCTTTATTTAATGTTTTCTAGATGCACCTGAGGCTGCTACCACCCCCCCCCCCCTTTTTTTTCCCGGACCGTCCCAGCGCATTCCCTCCCTCGGGACAGGGTGGCAGTGTCCATTTTGGGCAAAAGTTGTTTGAGTGACCTTACTTGTTAGTAATCTCTTGTCTTTCAGCGATCGAGTCCATGATGACATCCTTCTCCAGCGAACTGGTGCCTTCCGTGCACACAGCTGCCTGGAGGTCCAGCAAAACCACACCTCCCGTTCACGAACTGCCGGCTGGTGAGTGGAACGCTTTTCACCGCCCTTCTGGTTTTGTTTTCCCTTTCTTCTTTCTTTCCTTTCCTTCTTTCTTTCTTTTCTTTCTTTCTTTCTTTCTTTCTTTCTTTCTTTCTTTCTTTCTTTCTTTCTTTCTTTCTTTCTTTCTTTCTTTCTTTCTTTCTTTCTTTCTTTCTTTCTTTCTTTCTTTCTTTCTTTCTTTCTTTCTTTCTTTCTTTCTTTCTTTCTTTCTTTCTTTCTTTCTTTCTTTCTTTCTTTCTTTTTTCTTTCTTTCTTTCTTTCTTCTGTTTTTATTCTTTCTGTTTTTCTTGGCAACCTACTGGGTGTAAATTTGCATAGAAAAGCCACAACTGTCAGAAAGAATTATATAACTGGTTCTGCAACGTCCTGTAAAGGATATGCAACCAACTTTGTGTTTTAATTATTTCTTGGTTTCTGTACCCCTTTATCTATTTCCTTCTTTCTTTCACTTTGTCCTTCCTTCCGAATTTCTCTTTCCGCTTTTTTTTTTTTTTCCATCATTCCTTTCGTCGTTTCTTTCTATCCTTCATTCTTTATCTCTTATTCTTTTTATATATTTCGTTTTTGTTCTTCCAATTGTTTAAATCTTCTTTTACTTTTCTTTCTTTCTATTCATCCCCCCCCCCCCCCCACTCTTTTCCTCTTTTTTAGCAGTCATTGTATTCCATCTTTATTGTTTTTAATTTTTTTTTTCAATATATTTTTTACTGTGGTATGTATTTTTTATTTTTCCAATGTAATCATTGTCAGTATCCAATGTAATCATTGTCAGTATCCAGTGTAATCATTGTCAGTATCCTGTGTAATCATTGTCAGTATCCAATGTAATCATTGTCAGTATCCAATGTAATCATTGTCAGTATCCAATGTAATCATTGTCAGTATCCAATGTAATCATTGTCAGTATCCAGTGTAATCATTGTCAGTATCCTGTGTAATCATTGTCAGTATCCTGTGTAATCATTGTCAGTATCCTGTGTAATCATTGTCAGTATCCTGTGTAATCATTGTCAGTATCCAGTGTAATCATTGTCAGTATCCAATGTAATCATTGTCAGTATCCAGTGTAATCATTGTCAGTATAAAATGTAATCATTGTCAGTATCCAGTGTAATCATTGTCAGTATCCAATGTAATCATTGTCAGTATCCAATGTAATCATTGTCAGTATACAGTGTAATCATTGTCAGTATCCTGTGTAATCATTGTCAGTATCCTGTGTAATCATTGTCAGTATCCTGTGTAATCATTGTCAGTATCCTGTGTAATCATTGTCAGTATCCAGTGTAATTATTCTCAGTATCCAGTATAATGTTTTCATTCTGAAGAATATAGTAGATACTGACAGTCGTGTATGTGTGTGTGTACAGGGGAGGCGGGTGGATGCGGGAGGCGGGTGGGTGCGGGAGGCGGGTGAGTGTTTCCGGGAGGCAGACAGTCGGACAAGATACATGAAAATGAAATCTAATGTCAGTAAATTTTTAAAATACAAATCATATTTCAGTACATTGTACAAATAAAAATTAAATCTCATTTCAATGTTCCAATAAAAAATTAAATCTTATTTCAATACATTGTTCAAATAAAAATGTTTATTGTTTCTCAGTACACTGTTTAAATAAAAAAAATTAAATCTTATTTCAGTTCATTGTTCAAATAAAAATTAAATCTCATTTCGGTGCTCAAATACAAATTAAATCTAACTTTAGTACAGTTTTCAAATACAAATTAAATCTAACTTTAGTACAGTGTTAAAATACAAATTAAATCTAATTTTAGTACAGTGTTCAAATACAAATTAAATCTAATTTTGGTACAGTGTTCAAATACAAATTAAATCTAATTTTAGTACAGTGTTCAAATAAAAATTCATTCTTTCTTCAGTACATTTTTCGTTCTTAACTTTTAACACTAATATGCCTTCCCCCGACCCTCCGAAACTCCACCAACAACAGCTCTCGTCTTGTCACAAACCAGCCTGGCCGGAGTCACTCACTACTCGGTGTTCTGTGGATCCCAGATGATCCCCCGGGGGTCGAGGTTCGGACCTTTCAAGGGTCGAGTGGTCAACCCAAGTGAAATGAAGACTTTCGACGACAACGGTTACATGTGGGAGGTAAGGTGACTGGTGCACTTTCACCAAGATAGATGCTTTTTATCAGTGTCATATCATGTCGTGTTTGTTAACTCTAAGCTTGGGAAACGTACACAAAAACAAGTCATGGACTTTTCCACGCCCTCGTTCAGTATCAAAAAGCCCATCACAAGTCTCTTGATGTTTCCGATGATAATATTATGTTACTGACCTTTTATCACCGACAGTTTATGTGTGTGTGTGTGTGTGTGTGTGTGTGTGTGTGTGTGTGTGTGTGTGTGTGTGTGTGTGTGTGTGTGTGTGTGTGTATATATATAAGGTGCTCAGCGGGCGGAACAGTAAAAGAAACCAACGGTGCCTTCTCCGTTAGCGCAAGCGCTTGCGTGGCTCGAAACACAAAACTGCACCCGCGCATGTGTTCTTAGTGATTCAACGAGTATGATCCGGAGGGTTCAGGCAGTTCATTGAGTCATTAGGGAAGTCCACTGTGCGTGGAGTCATCTTTAGTTTCTTCTGGGACACGCGGGCTTCAATTGGAATGAAAGAGCTGATAGGCTGGCTGATTCACTATTACTACCGACAAAAAGCCTATGGTTGATGCTGATTTTATTATTGCCCTCCGAGAAGTGGTAAGCATGGAGAACTTTGAGGACAGCGAATCCACATCACTTGCCAGAATGATAGACTTGGGAGTTAGGATCGACATAGCAACAACAAAAAACGAGACACACACCAGACACATCATAGGACTTGTTTGTTAATAAACAGAGAACTGGTACTATTCGCCACCGGACGCTGGGGTTCATACTGAGGGAAGGATCTGAGCACCTATAGACATGCCCGGAGTGCAATGATGATAACCCAACTAAATAACTAACTAACACCTGAAACGGTTTACTGGCACCAGGTGGCACTACTCGCAGAACTATGAACCCAGACACATTACTATTGTCTCTGTTAAATTAACTGAGAAAGCACGTCAAGAAACACAGTCCACGATATAAAGGTCTCTCGTTTAAAACTTGTTCCAATGGTTTTATTACAAAAGCAGGAAGTAAACATCAAAATCACTTGTAGCAGAATAAAACAAAGCATTTCCTTTTAAATTAAATATGCACCATAGGTATTCAGAAAAAGTCACGTAAGCCATCCCACTGACTAAATCGGCTAAATCGACTGCTATAAAAAGTGATTGCGGTTGCTCATTGAACGATGTTTTTATCACATTTATTCTTTTGGTGGTCATACAACAATCATGGTACCCGCTGTGAACACACCTTTTGATACTGCAGTTTTTTTTTTTTTTTTTTACGAAAAACTTTTTGAACTATTCCAGTTGACACATTGAAATATGTCGCTAGCGCATGCTTTGCTTACTACACTTTTCGCATGTATTGTAAATATGCGCGTGATCCATCAGTTCAAGATCTTTCGCGAATTACGTCCTTTTGGAAAGAATGTTGAATTCTGAATTGAGAATCGGCATCACAGTACTCAGGAGACCCCCATAAGCGCTCCGTCCCCATCTTCAGCAGCAAGCGAATCCGATGGTACCAGTAACTGTCTGGTTGTATGTCCGTCTCGCTCTTCCCTTGAGCATCGGCCAGATCCCCTGGTAACTCCTCGCAGTGCCCTTATCCTCAGACCGTAATGATCTGTCCGTGCCTTCTCACTGTTCAATCGCTCCCAAAAAGCCCTCACAACATCCAGCCTGTCATACATCAGTTCACCACTAAGTGGTGCAGGACCGGCCGGTCCTTTTACCTGCTCATTTCCCAACACACCGGCATTACCTAGAGAAAATAGCGAAAGGATGCTACTACCCCGGACCTCTATATAAAAGACTACAGAGACAAACAATAACACCGACTGGGAACTTGCGGTTCCGACATTGACAGGGAATGGATGACCGTTGAGAACTTGGCTTATGTTGACCGTTCTCGTTGCCGTTTCTCCTCCAGTTTCGATGCTGCAAGATTGTGGAAGTCCGGTTTGCAGCCGGAGCTACTGAGTTTAGTGCTCCTGGTGGCACTATGAGCTGTGATTATCATTATGGTTTGCCAGATCAAATCGTGTGTGTTTTGCTAACTGAGGACACTACGGCATTCACTTGAAGTATCCAGCGTATCTGACTGAGCAATTATGGGCCAAGCTCGTCTGCTATGATGCCGGAACCGTACAACTAACTAACAATAACACCAACTTTCCATGACACAGACAGTATGTCACAGACTACCACGGGTAACCTCCCCCCCCCCCCACCCACCCACGCCTCCCCTACGCCCTTGCGCTTGCCGATCGACTTGTTGACAAGCTTCAAGGCGTTGCTCACCTCTGCTACACACGTCGGCATCACATACACTGTAAGTGTGAGTCCGGCGGTCAGTATCGCCACGGATGCATTGACTTCCCAGGACATACTCAGAAACCCATCTTGGCTGCGGCGACCTGGAAGCCAAGGGTGGTTATTACGGAAATCTCCCTAAACATGGTTCGCCCCGCCTATTTACACACTAGGTCACTTTTGATTGTTAGTTGCTCAGGCTCGTCAACTTTGCTGAAGGTTACGGTGGTGTTCCGCGATACCGTTCATTTCACATGTTGTATATTTCAGCACGTCAGCACTTTTAATGCTCCAAAAAACATGCAAGACTACCCCTCACACAAATTCCCCTACGAGAGTGCAGCAGCCCATGTCACAGGCATTCCCTTTCTCGGAATGAAAAATTAAATGGAAGACAACGCAGAAAGCGTTTCGAGCAAACAGTAGAGCGGGACACCCCTGTAACCTCCAGCAAAGTTGACAAACGTAACAAACTATGAATGAAAAGTGACCTAGTGCATACATAGACGGAGCTAACACACATTGGGCAGATTTTCGTAATATTCACCGCCAAAGTGCATTTTTGAGTATCCTTACCTAGACAGGGGTTCACCCACGTGGCTGTGGGTATGGCAGTCAAGTCTGCTAGGCTGTGAGCTGCAAACTACTGCCCGAGACTGGTATAAATCTTTCGGATTGTACTCGATGACGCCTCATTGTAAATCTATTCATGATAATGAAGATGATAAAAACCTTAGTAACGATAGGGATGATAATGTCAACGGCGATGATTATGATCGTGAAGACGATGATGATGATGATGCTCCCGATGACGATTATTATGATGAGGACGACGAGGAATGATGTTTACAAAAAGAAAGTCGACGACGATGAAAATAATGATGACGACTCCGATGTTTATGATGTTGCTGATAATGACAAGGACAACGACAACAGTGATTGACGATGATTATGATTATCGTGACCACGACGACGATGATGATGATAAAGATGACGACGACAACGACGATGATGATAATGATGATGACGACAACGACGACGATGATGATGATGACGACGACAACGACGACGGTGATGATGATAAGGATGACGACGACAACAACGACGATGATGACGATGACGACGACAACGACGACGATGATGATGATAAGGATGACGACGACAACGACGGCGATGATTATTATTATGACAATGATTATGATGATCATGCCGACGACGATAGCGACGACGATGACGATGACGATGATGAAAGCTATCTTTTTCAGTCTAAATTCTTCTCTATTTCAGATCTTTAAAGACGGCCGACTCAGCCATTTCCTAGACGGACGAGGGACGGCCGGTAACTGGATGTCGTACGTCAACTGTGCACGGACCTGCATGGAGCAGAACATGCAGGCTTTCCAAGAGGGAGATTTCATTTACTATGAGGTCAGTTTCTCGTTCCTGGTCTTCTCCTCTTGATCCTCTCTCCTTTGGCAGATGAAGATGATGTCAAGCACATACATTGTTAATATCATCAACATCACCGTCGTCGCTACATCACCACCATTATCATCACCATCATCATCATCACCACCATTATCATCCCTACCACAATAGTCAACATCATCATCATAATCATCATCATCATCATCAATACATTATCGTCAGAACAAAACAACAGCCAGCAATGTTGGGATTAGCTGTTCCGTCTCTCTCTCTCTCTCTCTCTCTCTCTCTCTCTCTCTCTCTCTCTCTGTGTGTGTGTGTGTGTGTGTGTGTGTGTAACAGAGTGGGTCATAGCTTGTTTGTTAGAAGGCACAAAGTTATGATGTACTGAAAATCAACAAGTTTTGGTAACCTTGACATTCCCTTTTCCAGAATCTTCTTTTCCCGCCAAAACTAGCTGTGCAGCTCTGGTGATGTGTTTTTTAGCCATACTTGCTCTTCTGTGCGGAGGCAGATATAGATCACCAATAAACACATACTGCCTTCTGCCAAGTACTGCCTTTATTATACCACTTTTGTTGTGTAGGCAAGAGGGTCTTTTGAGCTTGGGGATTTACGGCGCATGGCCACGACTGTGCAGGTGAGGATTTTATTTTGCCCCCAACAGAAAAAAAAATTCCCAGCCTTACCAAGGATTCGTACCTGGGTCTCCCGCTTGGGAGTCCAGTGTTCTAACCGTCAGGCCAGCCGCTCCTCACTACACTGACTTCCTGTGTTTCTTTTTATGAGGTTAACATTTCTTACTTTTTTTTTAATCCGGCTCTTCAATTATTTTAACCTTTTCGATCCAAGATATTACTATAACCCCTCTGACCCCGAAATTAGATGTCAATTTTTTAACTTCAGGAGACACATACATAGTTGTTGCTTTAAGGCACAACAATATTTTTGTAGGCGGTGTCAATTTAGCATCTATCTGGAGCTTGAATAGTTGGTTCTTTATTAATATCCTACCCCAGATGACGTCACATGACAGTCCAATATTTTAGAGGGTGGTCAGACGGGGTTTTCCGTCTTTCTGATGCTTTTAACGACCCAGAAACATCTAAAACTGGCCCTAACCCCAACCCACCTACTTCCCATGAGAGAGTGCAGCCTAGGTCCCACGACTGCATGCAGCCTATGTATACTACCCATAGAAATATTAGACTGTTCCGTGACCTGTGGATTTCCCCTGTTTGGGGTAGGATATTAATAAAGCACCGAATAGTTTAACACTCATTTGTATTTCCGCAGACATGTTGTGACGTCATGCCCGGAACCGAACTTTTAGTCTGGTACTCGGATGCTTACGACCAGTTTATGGGGATTCCCTTGGGGCTCCACGGAATCGCCAATAAGAACTCCACAAACAAGGAAGAGCAGGAAGGTTGGTATTCTGTCCTTGCTACTGCTTTCTCTTCTCCTTTACGGGGTCTGTTATAAGACTCAGTAGCACTCCAGTCTAGGAAACTACCAGAATTGCAAACACTGCTGACACAACTCAGCCTTCAGCAAAGAGTTGTAGTGCAGTGGATACCGTCTCATTGTGGGGGGGCCTGGAAATGAGAAAGCTGATCAACTGGCAGGGAAAGGTGCGACAAAAGAGCAGCCGGATGTACCAGTCACATACCACCAAAAGAAAAGAATCATTAAATCGATCAGGAAACCACCAGCCCCAGTACAAGACGACTATTTTATTATGGACAGACCAGAACAAGTCATTATCCTCCGCCTCAGAACAGGGCACAACCGATTACGTAACCACATGTACACAAAATTCAAGATAGGTGTATCAGCCATGTGCATCTGTTGGAATGTGCCCCAGACAGCAGAGCATGTACTCCAGGACTGCACCGATTTTGACACATAAAGTCAAACCTTTTGGCCAGAAAGAACAACAGTGGAACGTAAACTCTATGGACCACTGAATGAACTAACAACGACAGTGAAATTTATACAAGAGACAAAACTGCTGATATAGACAACTTATTTCAGGCGAACGTAAGAAGAAGAAGATAAGACTCAGTAACAGTCTCACAAATTATGTAAAAGTGGACGTAGATAGGAGGTGACTACAGTTAGGTTGTTATTTGTGTTCTATTTAGTATTCTGTTGATAAAGACTTTGGTGAAAATGTTCAGCTGTGTATGCTTCTTTTCCACTCCTCCGCTGAGCTTTCTTGTCGCATTTTATGTTATATTTGGGATTCTTGAGAAAAGTGTAGACTGGCGTGCTTCCCTGCAGGCTTTGTTACAGAGATCTCGTGTTGTTAGATTCTTTTGTGATTCTTCGTGTCCGAATTGTCTGCCAGTGAACCTCTGCCACCTGCTAATAAAGTCCAACATGTGTCCGGTAAACCAATCGTAAGCTTGTCGCTCGGTCGTCCAGGTATGCTGACTGCTTTAATTAGGCTGCCGCAACGACTTCTTATCTCACAGTACCTTCTGCAAACCACTAAGTCGTCTTGTCTCTATCGGGGGAAAAAAACATCTGGTAATTTCGTGCAGCAGGGTACCAGCCCTGAGCTTCATGAACTCAGGTGGGCCCACCTCCGAAAGTGTCTAGGAATCGTGGGCCGAAACGTTTGTCGACGAGGATAATTTCTACTGACGACTGGTAGATCCCTGCTGTACTTGCTCCCTGTGAGTTTATTCCTATTTTGAACTCTTCTCTGGAGCATGCAGATGTGTTGGGGGAAAAAAAAAACAGAACGATTTATTTGTCTTGCCTGCATATAAACTTTCTCAACTGTTGTATACTCATCTTTTAGAAGACTCAGCACAACGTTTATCTTGTTCAAACATGAACATCCTAGCCTTGTGGGCGCATCAGTTAATAGATTCTATGTTTACATAGAATACATCTCGGAAGCTGAAATATTCTGGTCATAACAAGCGCCATGGCGGACTAGAAAAAAAATGATAGCAGAAGACATGGTACCAAAAAGGAGAGGCAGGGGCCGACCAACACGAAGACAGGCACAGGATATAAGTGACTGCTTGAGTGTGAAAGTACATGAGTTGGGAGAGCTGGCGAGAGACCGAGTTTCTTTCAGGCAGACTGTCATGAGAGCAACCAGCGTTCTGCAAAGGACCTGCTGAATAATGACGATAATGTTCACATTTATCCATTGTTGAAATCGTGCTTTTCAGATGGTTATGTAGACGCAGGCTGGTTGAAGGAAAAGAGGCGGGGTCAGATAGAGATATAAACAAACCAACAGACAAATATGGGAGGAGTTTTTCATAGGAACTAGGAAATCTGTGGAACACGAGCCTACAAATAAACGTATCATTATACAAAACTTTAAATATTTCGTTCTAATGTCTAACCAGTACTTCTTTATGCAGGTAAAACGAGAAGAACTAAAACAGTTGTTAATATTTGATAAACATTTATTAGCTTGCTCGTGTGCAGAATAAAAGGAATTAAAAGATATGGTAGGATCAATGATGTAGAGCTTTGTGAAGAGAATTTCACACAATCTAGGGAGGAACAAACGCTGGCTTTGGAAAACAACCTTCTCACGTTAAGAAAACCTGATAAAGATGTTACTAATATGTATAAATACTGGAACCAACAGTGTCAAATGAATAAATGTAGACTTTAAAAAAAAAATACATAGATGTAAATGGAGCATAAAGTTAAAAGGAGAACTTTCGGTGAACGTCGTGCAATAACATAGGATTATGACAATTTGATGTCAGTTGGTTGGTGGAGATAAGGAAATGTACACAAGTGTGAGCGTCGTATGATTACACACGTGGTATGATCGATCACTGTCCGCTCCGGGCTGTTACCTAAAAGTTTACCATATCATCCTGAGATTTAAAATTCTCCATCTGGACGGTGACCAACAAGGTAGATCCCAGATACCCCGTTCTACCTCTAAGAGAAGCTATAATTAGAGCAATAGTTTTGGGTACACCAGTCTGTTTCCACACGTGTGCATACAAGCTTTGCTTCCTATAATTTAAGACTAATAACCATAACACTGAGGTCGATGCTAGCACTGATCCTACTAACCATCCTTATCATCACGTGCCGTGCCGATGATCGTAGGTTGTCGTGTTTCGCCATCTCACACGATCACCAGAATTAAGGATCAGGTCATTGTGGTTGTCTCGCCACATCCATCTTTCCAGGCCGTCCAGGTATTGAACTATGTGCCTTCCTCTTGCTTTCTTTCCATCATTCTCACCCGTTGTCACCAGGTTCTCCAGTCTATTCTTTTCCCCTATGTACGAAATAGACAGACTTTGTCTCAGTTTTCGAATCAGTTTCCGACTTCCATTTGTCCCAAGGAAGACTGTCATTCTTGATATTCTTTGCATTGGTCTGAAAAACTACATCTCCGCTGCCAGTAAATGCTTTTTACCTTGTCTGCTTACTGTCCATGCCTCACATGCACACAACAAGACAAGTTCTATTTAGCAATTTAACACTGTTTTTCACCACCACAACGTCACCCGCCAAGCAGCCGGCACGGGCTACCAGTGCGAGCACTGTGGGAAAGTGTTCACCTACAAGTACTACAAGGACAAACATCTCAAGTACACGAAGTGTGTGGACCAGGGCGACCGCAAGTTTCCCTGTCAGTTATGTAACAGGTGGGTTATCTCGTTGTTATCTTTGTCTTTTGTGTGTCAAGTGGGCCATCTCATTGTTATCTTTGTCAGTTATATGATAAGTGGGTCATCTCATTGTTATCTTTGTCAGTTATATGATAAGTGAGTCATCTCATTGTTATCTTTGTCCGTTATATGACAAGTGGGTCATCTCATTGTTATCTTTGTCAGTTATATGATAAGTGGGTCGTCTCATTGTTATTTTTCTCAGTTATATGGTAAGTGAGTCATCTCATTGTTATCTTTGTCAGTTATATGATAAGTGAGTCATCTCATTGTTATCTTTTTCCGCTGTGTAACAGGTAGGTTATGTTATTGTTATCTTTGTGCTCGAGGCTCAGAGGAAAGGCAAGACGGACGTTTAATCAGAATGCTACTGGCACCATTAGTATTGGAACTCTTCACTGGCTGCTGAAGATGGGGACGGAGCGCTTATGGGAATGCCCCGAGTGCTGTGATGTCGGTTTTTGAATAAATCAAATTTGGGATTTTTTTCACGTGGACTTGGATTTCTAGTAATTCCCCCTGGTTTCTGGGTAGAGAGATCGGATGCCCGTGGGCATTGTTGTGCACGTAAAAAATCCCTTGGCAGTTGGAAATCGAAATGGGTAGCTTAACGGCGTTGCCCGAGCAAAATTTGGAGTTACAAATCTACCCAAAGAATTTCAGGATCCTCGTCGGTGCTACAGAGCCTGTGCACTGTGTTGAGCTTCTTCGAACTCCGACTTGAGTTAGAAGAAGAACGGAGCACTTATGGATTACTACCCGTGTGCTATGATGTTGTTGATCCGTTGTTCAAAAACCTCATTTGAGAGCAATTTTGCTAGCACGCCAGATTTCTTTAGCAGTACCGCTTCTAGTTGCTTATGGTGACATTCTTTTGAGATAAATAGTAGACACTATTTGATTTGGTTAATAATTAGCATGCTTTCCTATATTTTTAGATCGTTCGAAAAGAAGGACCGTCTCCGCATTCACGTGCTGCACGTGCATGAGAAACATCGACCACACAAGTGTGTGGTGTGTGGCAAGAGTTTCAGTCAGTCCTCCAGCCTCAACAAACACATGCGGGTGAGACTGGTCAAAGTGCCCCCCTCCCCCACTTTCCCGTGTAAGTTCCAGGGGTCCCGTTGTGAGGAAAACAAGAATAGACCCACTGTTTCCCCAAAATGCATGTCGTAAGAGTCGAATATTTGAGAGCTTCCTTAAAAGTCGGAATCCATCTGCCTGAGAGGTAAGGAACCAACAGTCTGCATGCAGATGAGCCAAACTCGTGAAACGGGTGTGCACGCAACACTCAGTTTCTGGAACAAGGCTAAAGTTCAGAAGTAGACGAACAAATAGAACATTCCACCTGAGTTAACAGCTGGTGAACGCGGAGAAGAAGAAGAAGATCAAAGTGTACTAGTCAGTGTGTTCCACCTGTCCCAGTTATTGTGCTTAACTTATCCTAGTCAGTGTGCTTAACTTATCATAGTCAATGTGCTTAACTTATCCTAGTCAGTGTGCTTAACTTCTCCTAGTCAGTGTGCTTAACTTATCCTAGTCAGTGTGCTTAACTTATCCTAGTCAGTGTGCTTAACTTCTCCTAGTCAGTGTGCTTAACTTCTCCTAGTCAGTGTGCTTAACTTATCCGAGTCAGTGTGCTTAACTTATCCTAGTCAGTGTGCTTAACTTATCCTAGTCAGTGTGCTTAACTTCTCCTAGTCAGTGTGCTTAACTTCTCCTAGTCAGTGTGCTTAACTTATCCTAGTCAGTGTGCTTAACTTATCCTAGTCAGTGTGCTTAACTTCTCCTAGTCAGTGTGCTTAACTTATCATAGTCAATGTGCTTAACTTATCCTAGTCAGTGTGCTTAACTTCTCCTAGTCAGTGTGCTTAACTTATCCGAGTCAGTGTGCTTAACTTATCCTAGTCAGTGTGCTTAACTTCTCCTAGTCAGTGTGCTTAACTTATCCGAGTCAGTGTGCTTAACTTATCCTAGTCAGTGTGCTTAACTTATCCTAGTCAGTGTGCTTAACTTCTCCTAGTCAGTGTGCTTAACTTCTCCTAGTCAGTGTGCTTAACTTCTCCTAGTCAGTGTGCTTAACTTATCCTAGTCAGTGTGCTTAACTTCTCCTAGTCAGTGTGCTTAACTTCTCCTAGTCAGTGTGCTTAACTTATCCTAGTCAGTGTGCTTAACTTCTCCTAGTCAGTGTGCTTAACTTATCCTAGTCAGTGTGCTTAACTTCTCCTAGTCAGTGTCTTTAACTTATCCTAGTCAGTGTGCTTAACTTATCCTAGTCAGCGTGCTCAACCTCTCCTAGTCAATATCCTCAATATCGCCCAGTCAGTGTGCTTCACCTGTCCTAGTCAGTGTGCTTCACCTGTCCTAGTCAGTGTGCTTCACCTGTTCTAGTCAGTGTGCTTCACCTGTCCTAGTCAGTGTGCTTCACCTGTCCTAGTCAGTGTGCTCAACCTCTCCTAGTCAGTGTGCTTTACCTGTCCTAGTCAGTGTGCTCAACCTCTCCTTTTCAGTGTGCTCAACCTGTCCTAGTCAGTGGGCTCAACCTCTCCTAGTCAGTGTGCTCAACCTGTCCTAGTCAGCGTGCTCAACCTGTCCTAGTCGGTGTGCTCAACCTGTCCTAGTCAGTGTGCTTCACCTGTCCTAGTCAGTGTGCTTCACCTGTCCTAGTCAGTGTGCTCAACCTCTCCTAGTCAGTGTGCTTAACCTGTCCTAGTCAGTGTGCTCAACCTCTCCTAGTCAGTGTGCTCACCCTGTCCTAGTCAGTGGACTCAACCTCTCCTAGTCAGTGTGCTCAACCTGTCCTAGTCAGCGTGCTCAACCTGTCCTAGTCGGTGTGCTCAACCTGTCCTAGTCGGTGTGCTCAACCTGTCCTAGTCATTGTGCCCAGCCTTTCTCGGTCATTGTGCTCAACCTGTCTCAGTCAATGTGCTCAACCTCTCCTAGTCAATGTGCTTAACCTCTCCTAGTCATTGTTCTCAACATGTCCTAGTGTGCTCAACCTGTCATAGTGTTCTCAACATGTCCTAGTGTGCTCAACCTGTCATAGTGTTCTCAACATGTCCTAGTGTGCTCAACCTGTCATAGTCAATGTGCTCACTTCTAGATTCGTTATTTTAGTTGTTTCGACTCTGCTACCCCTTGATTTAGCCCATCATTGTAGTATGTATGAGGAGGGTATTCTCTTGTGTTCCAGATGAATACATTTGTGCTAAGGCAGTGAGTCCTGTCGCTGATCTTTAGGGTCCAAAAAGTATTTTTTCTCCCTGTGTATACTGCATTATAGTCTATCTTGGTTTGTCCCTGTCCTGGTGTTGTGGAGTTCTGGGCTGAGCTATTTGCAGAGCGCCGGGCACAGCTACAGAGGATGTTATCAATACATCGCACGGCGCCATATTATTTTGAAAGACTCAAAGGCCAAAAGTGATCAAACTGGATCACATTTTGAGATGTGTCCAAAAATATAAAATCTTACCAGTTCTGGTTTTAAGGATCTTATACTGGCCCTCCTGAAATCAATCTGGCTTAAGATACATATATAGTCATTGGTTAATGAATTAGTGTTAGCAGCTGTAAATGATATATTTAGTACCCTGTCTTAGATTCCTTTTAAGTACATCCCTGTTGTACCCTGTCTTAGATTCCTTATAAATACATCCCTGTTGTACCCTGTCTTAGATTCCTTTTAAGTACATCCCTGTTGTACCCTGCCTTAGATTCCTTATAAGTACATCCCTGTTGTACCCTGTCTTAGATTCCTTATAAATACATCCCTGTTGTACCCTGTCTTGGATTCCTTATAAGTACATTCCTGTTGTTCCCTGTCTTAGATTCCTTATAAGTACATCACTGTTGTACTCTGTCTTAGATTCCTTATAAGTAGATCCCTGTTGTACCCTGTCTTGGATTCCTTATAAGTACATCCCTGTTGTGCCCTGTCTTAGATTCCTTATAAGTACATCCCTGTTGTACCCTGTCTTAGATTCCTTATAAGTACATCACTATTGTACCCTGTCTTCTTCTTCTTCGCGTTAACCGGCTGCCCCTCCAGTGGAAAGTATTGGTTGTTCGTCAACTTCTCTACTTTGATATTGTTTCATAACATGTGTTTTTTAGAGGACATTTTTTTTTTTACATCTCTGCTTATCTGTATGCGACTGTTGATTCCACGTCGCTCAGGCTGATGCACTCCGACTTTGAAAGAAACACCAATAATAAGTCGACTTTTACGACATGCTAATTTGGGTGGGAAAGGGGGAAAGGAGGGGGAGGGGCTTTTCTTTTCCCTAGACGGGGAGTGCCATGTCTCTTAATAGTACATACCTGGTGATTGATACCTGATGTATGATACCTGGTGATTGATACCTGATGTATGATACCTGGTGTATGATACCTGGTGTATGATACCTGATGTATGATACCTGATGTATGATACCTGATGTATTATACCTGGTTATGATACCTGATGTAAGATACCTGATGTATGATACCTGATGTATGATACCTGATGTATGATACCTGATTATGATACATGGTGTATGATACCTGGTGATTGATACCTGGTGTATGATACCTGGTGTATGATACCTGATGTATGATACCTGATGTGTGATACCTGATGTATGATACCTGGTGTATGATACCTGGTGTATGATACCTGGTGTATGATACCTGATGTATGATACCTGGTGTATGATACCTGGTGTATGAAACCTGATGTATGATACCTGTTGTGTGATACCTGGTGTATGATACCTGGTGTATGATACCTGGTGTATGATACCTGATGCATGATACCTGATGTATGATACCTGGTGTATGATACCTGGTGTATGATACCTGGTGTATGATACCTGATGTATGATACCTGGTGTATGATACCTGGTGTATGATACCTGGTGTATGATACCTGGTGTATGATACCTGATGTATGATGCCTGATGTATGATACCTGGTGATTGATACCTGATGTATGATACCTGATGTATGATACCTGGTGTATGATACCTGATGTATGATACCTGGTGTATCATGTCTGAGCTGACTGACCACGTATGTCGGCAGGTACACAGTGGAGAGAGGCCCTACAAGTGTGTCTACTGCAACAAATCCTTCACAGCCTCTAGCATTCTCAGAACTCATATCAGACAGCATTCTGGGGAGAGGCCTTTCAAGGTATCCTCATCACCATCGTCGTTAATATCATCAACATCACCGTCGTCGCTACATCACCACCATTATCATCACCATCATCATCATCACCACCAATATCATCCCTACCACAACAGTCAACTTCATCATCATCATCATAATCATCATCATAATCATCATCATAATCATCATCATAATCATCATCATCATCAATACATTATCGTCAGGACAACAACAGCGAGCAATGTTGGGATTAGCTGTTCCGTCTCTCTCTCTCTCTCTCTCTCTCTCTCTCTCTCTCTCTCTCTCTCTCTCTCTCTCTCTCTCTAACTCTAACTCTCTCTTTTTCTAACGCTCTTTATTTCTTTATTTATATATATCTCTCTCTCTTTCTTTATCTCGCTCTCTTTGCTTCTCTCTCCCCCTTTCTCTCTCCCTTTCGCTCTCTCTCTCTCTCTCTCTCTCTCTCTCTCTCTTTCTCTCTCACCCACTCGGTAAAATCGAAATATTTGTATTATATATATATGTGTGTGTGTGTGTGTGTGTGTGTGTGTGTGTGTGTGTGTGTGTGTGTGTGTGTGTGTGTGTGTGTGTGTGTGTGTGTGTGTGTGTGTGTGTGTGTGTGTGTGTGTGTGTGTGTGTGTGTGTGTGTGTGTGTGTGTGTGTGTGTGTGTGTGTGTGTGTGTGTGTGTGTGTGTGTGTGTGTGTGTGTGTGTGTGTGTGTGTGTGTGTGTGTGTGTGTGTGTGTGTGTGTGTGTGTGTGTGTGTGTGTGTGTGTGTGTGTGTGTGTGTGTGTGTGTGTGTGTGTGTGTGTGTGTGTGTGTGTGTGTGTGTGTGTGTGTGTGTGTGTGTGTGTGTGTGTGTGTGTGTGTGTGTGTGTGTGTGTGTGTGTGTGTGTGTGTGTGTGTGTGTGTGTGTGTGTGTGTGTGTGTGTGTGTGTGTGTGTGTGTGTGTGTGTGTGTGTGTGTGTGTGTGTGTGTGTGTGTGTGTGTATGACATGCTGTTTTCAAATGGTGTTTAACGAGACATATGGGCAGGTGTTTCTGTCACCCTAACTACAGTATTTCAGAGCCGCAGTAGCCAGCAGCTTGCCTGTAGGTTCCGCCGTCGTGGGTTATTCAAACAAATGTTAATAAAAGGGTCTTGGCTCCCAGGTAGACACAGCCTAAATTCGGTGTCAAGCCCTCTTTCCATCGCCCAAATAAAAAAAAAAATTTTAGGGGGGGGAGAGAGAGGGGGGGGGGGGGAGAGGGGGGGGAGGGGGGGGGGGTGATTGAAGCCAATAATTTTGTCAGACCCATACAGATAAACCCTCCCCCCCCCCCCTCTCTTCCTTTTTTTTAACCCTTCCTTTTTTAACCTTATATAGAAATTATCTTTAAAGCATTTTAATTTTTACATTTTAAGCAACTTATAGTTATTTGACCGAGGGGCTAGACGCATGCCGCTGAATAGAAGGTCGTGGGTTCGCTCCCTGGCGGAGCCGGATTGTAATAAGTGGTGTGTGTTTCTTCTCGTTGTTTATGCAGTGTTCATGCGTGTGTGGTGGATGATCTTCTCACACGCTCAACGTTACACAACTGGCACAAGCCGACACCGATGTGAGCTTACGAGACATGAATTTATTTACGTATTTACACTTACAAACTAGAATGTCCGGTCGGTGTCCTAGTGAACAGCTCTCGTACCCAAACTCACGCAGCCTTCAACGAACAGTCTTCTTCAAGCATTCACTGACCAAAGATGGCTCCCATGGATTCACGTTGAGGTTCTGGGCATCTCACACACTGGCATGGTCGATCTCGGCTTCACACTTCGTCGGCAGGGTCTTCTTTCTTCACAATCACTCTCACGTTGACATTCTCACTTTCAGTCGTACGTCCTCTCACTCCAACAGGTCGACACCAACTAAACTTGACCAGAGTCAAGTCTGACTTATACCACGGGTTCGTTTCACGTGACAACACGTGGTGGTCCTTTACTTTTCACGTGGCGACCTTGAGTCGCATCATCGTGGTCCCCGTGATAACCAGTGGTTAGTCACCTATCTCCAGATTCTCGTTTAATCCAAGTATCTGGACTATCTCGGTGTTTTACGTCAGCTTTGGGCCTTCCTCCCAACCATCCTAAAATGGGTGAAAATATCCCCCATTACATTCTCCCTCCCCCGTATTTAAAAAAAAATTTACTTTTTTTTTTCTCATTATCGTTAATGGGTAGGAGTATATATTATGTAATGCTTGGGTATTTTCACTGGTATCAGAGGTAAAAAATGTATTCCTACCCTTTGGGTAATTCATGTTTTTCCTTTGGAACTTTGTCAGTTGTCATGCCCAGTGAGTATTATGTGGCGTGATGGAATCAACACCCCAGGTAATACTCTTTCAATTGCGGAGGACCATAAAGGCTCTACGTTTCAAAAATGACCTTGGTTCCCAGGTCGACCCAGCCTTGAGTGGGTACCGGGTGCAGTCATAGGAAGTAAAGGCGGCCGGCGTGATGTTGACCACATCACCCATCTTGTGCCGATTGATCTATAAAAAATATAGGTCTAGCCCTATATGCCCTATACGCCTTAAGGCGTAGAAAAGGGTCCTTTACTTTACTTAATATAGTTATTTGAAATTCAGCACAATAACAATAATAATAATAATAATAATAATAATAGGAGGCCATCTTCCTGTTTGACTAAAACAAATGTATAAGCTGGAGCCCTTCTCCCAGAGTTGTGTTTCAGTGGGTACAAGATCAAGTCCTGGATTGTAAAGATCACACCAGCTACTGAGTGCTCGCTGGTTTATTCAAGTACGGCTCTGTCTATCACTATATGCCCTATGCGCCATTGGCACGACCAGGGTCCCTCTACATATTGCTTTCGCTTTGATTTGTACCTTATTACTGATTGCTGGTGAATCACTACATTTCCACAACTTCCGTTGACTCCACAGTGTAAATTTTGTGGAAAAGCTTTCGCCTCGCACGCCGCCCATGACAGTCACGTGAGACGCACGCATGCGCGGAGCAAGCGGATGTCGTGTGAAATCTGTGGCCTTGAGATGTCCAGTGAGTACGTGCTCAAAAGGCATTGTCTGTCACACATGGGTAAGTCTGTCCTTGTCGATTTATGCGTCATATCTCTAGGGGCGGCTTTGGTTGTCTTGTCTGTCAGGTAACATCATCAAGAGATATTGGTGCTTTATTAATATCCTACCTCAAAGAGGGAAATCCTCAGGTCACGGGACGGTCTAATATTTAGGGAAGGGGGGTAGATAGGCTGCATGCAGTCGTGGGACCTAGGCTGCACTCTCTTGTGGGACGTAGGTGGGTTGGGGTTATGGCCAGTTCTAGATCTTTTGGGATCGTTAAAAGCATCAGAAATTCGGAAAACCTAGTCTTACCCCACTCTAAAATGTTGGACTGTTCTGTGACGTCATCTGGGTTGAGATATTAATAGAGAACCAAGGCATTTTCTATCTGACATAACATAACCCTTGAGCCGTTAGGGTCGTGGAGGTGTATTGATGGAAACACAAGCACATAAAACCCGCCATCTTTCTCTTTCTGTCTTCCGCTTGGTTAATAAATGTATGATAACTTAGTCCTGTCCAATTCTTGTTTTTGTCATTCAAGGTTCTTCTTTACCCTCATTTTCTTCGACTACCCCTCTATGTTCATCTATGTTCTAAAGTGTAGTCTTTGCAATCGATTTCTGTCGTACATCGTACCCGAACCAAGTTAGCTAGCGACGTTTCTTCCCAGGTCTGTCCGTTCTATGCCATCTGTTTGTCTTACCTCTCTATATGCCCGTCTCTCTAGCGTAGTTGGCTAAACGGATTGCGCGGTGAGCGGGTGACGAACTCCTTGTGGTCCGGGTTCACTCCCGGGGGTAGGCAGAAAAGCCACATTTCTCCCAGATTTACGGTATTTATCATGGAATCAAGGCCGAAAGGTTGCGATATCCATAATACCGAGCCTAATGGTTAACAACTCATGACTTCTGGATACTAAAACAAACAAACAAACCTCTCTATATATTTCCTCAACAGACATTGTCAAATATGGTTGAGTCTTTCCGCGTTTGCTTTCTTTGTCTTATCTTTCCAGGTGCCTCTTCAAGAGACATTGGGTGTCACGCATAGGTAGGTAAGGATTTGTGTCTAGGGGCGTCGATATAAAGACACCATGTGTGGAAGAGGGCACTAGGTGAGAGATGTGGTCTTTCTGCCACGTCCCAGGACAGTATCTGCTACCCATTGTAGGCGGGGTCGACCGGTGAGGTAAGGTCAGCTTTGACAAAAACCTGTCAAGATACGGATTCGAGCACAGGACCTTGGAACTGGCAGGCCAGCGTCTAACCACTGTGCTGACGCGTAAAGCTGCTACCGTGTGACCTCGAAAATAGGACCTATTTAAAGAACAACAGGATGTTTCGGGATGATTAAGTGTAGATGTTTGTATCTCAACAAAAACAAAACAACAACAAAAAATAATAATAATAAAATAGGGAATCCCCTTAAAAAAAGACCCAGTGGCTTTTTAAGCAAAAATTATAATTAAATCAGGTCTCATCACCTGTCGGCTCTGTGGCTAAGTCGATGCGAACGCTTCGTAATGCCGGGATGCCGGGTTCGATCCCAGCTGCAGGCCATGTGCCTTGCGTTGGTTTCGACAGTGGTATCAAGAAAAGCCGACCGTCCAGAAGCAATGGCAAACTATTGGATGTAAATTTGCCTAGAAAACCCACATAACAGCCAGGGGCTGTTGGGGTTGGTTCTGCAAAGTCTTGCAAAGAATACGCAACTAACTTTATCACCTACTTCTCTGGAAAGGAGGTGAAATGAAAAATATCTCGTTTCGAAAATATTCAGAGGATGTTTCATGATTTATTCAGTGCAGAATACTTTAGGAGATGTCATTACCGTTGCCTTATATTTTATTGTCCATTTTTAAAAGGTTTCCAGGGCGGAAGTTACCCACAAGACGAAAGCCACGACCACATAGGATCTGACTGGGAAAACATGACCGCCATAGCCGCTGTGCCAGCGCCTCATCTGACTTAACGAGCTAAATCAAGGATTTTTTTTTTTTTTATGTTGCCTCGATGCACTTTTGCATATTAAACATATATTCTTGGTTGTATGTGAGGTAATTATTTTTAACGAAATGTTCAATGTTAGTTAAGATTGTGTGTGTGTGTTTTGGTGTGTGTGTGTGTGTTTGTGTGTGTGTCGGTGTGTGTGTGTAGCTTAGCTCAGACTGAAGAGGGAGCCTCATAGGACGGAAGCCTTCTTCTAGTACCTAATAATAATAACAATATAATATAATAATAATAATAATAATAATAATAATAATAATAATACTAATAATAATAATAACAGCAGAAATAGTAGTTGGCCGAATGACAATAAATTAAACTAGCATATAAAAAATATCGTATGGATAAACAAAAGCTTAAAAATATAACTAAACATGGTTAGCGGAGTGGGCCTTGTTTCTTTGGCTTCATTCCTTGCCGTGCCAGCAGTCCTGTTGCATAGTTGGTCGCTAGGAACGACTGTACACATAAAGTTCAGTAGTAACTGTGTCTCGCTGGCATTTTGAAAGTGCTTACTGCAAATCCTCATCAGTCAGTTATATTTATGCCTAGTGGCGCATGAGGCTTCAGAGGGGACTTCCCATGCTTTCCTGTCCTTTGCAATCTTCAGTGCAGTTTTCCATGTCAGAGATGCCGCACTCAAGTCACTTTCCATCTTTCGTCTCTATGTTGTTTTTGGGCGCCCCTTTTTTCTCTTTCCCTCTGGTATCCATGTGATACAGGTATATCAGGTATATAAGGATTCATTCTTATAACGTAGCCAAGCCATTTCTATCTTCTTTTGATTATCATACAGTCTAGAGTTTCGTGGTTTGTGACTTGAAGTAGTTTGGTGTTTGAGATTGTATCTGGCCAGAAAGGTTTTTGATAATTTTACGCAGACATGTGTGGTGACATTCTTACTCGATAACCAAACCATTTGATATTCTGTTTCTCAATGATTTTGCTGCATGGTTCATCACCCAAAATGCAGGGGTCGTGATTTAGAAGGTGGATAGCTTGCGTCTCACACCTGGTCATTCTTTGATACCTACATCTCTAATGTAAAATGTATTTAATTAAAAGTATGAATCAAAGGGGTCAGCTGGCCAAGCAGACTGTTGTCCAAAGGATCGCAGACTACTGCATCATTACGGGAAATGAAAGAGTGTCAGTCTGGTAAAAAATTGAAACAATACTAAACAGCCATATACGGGATGTACTTATAATGAAAATAAGACCCAAATCAATACAGCCATTACAACCTATTGGTACATTTCCCATCTATAACCCAGTCCTGAAGACGCAGCTAACCTCCCCACACACGCGCAGTAGGTATGTGGGTTCTATCTCAATATCTCCCCCCAAGCAGACAGTCTAATATTTTAGGGAGTGGTAGATAGGCTGCATTCGGTCGTGGGACCTAGGCTGCACTCGTGGGATGTAGGTGGGTTATAGTTAAGCCCAGTTCTAGATGTTTTAGGTTGGTTAAAAGCATCAGAAAACCGGGAAACCCGCTTTTACCACCCTCTAAAATATTGGCAGCGACGTCATCCTTGGGGGAGATACTGTGAAAGCACCGATATGTGTGCTGAGACATAGTAGAATCCGCAGCCATTTTTATATACAAAACAATGAGGACTGGGGACTCGAAATTGTGCCAATGTGGAGAGGCACAGTGAAATAGCGCACATATGCTGCAGACACGCTCTCTGGTAGAGAGAGAGATCAAAGGTCTAGCCAGTTACATTCCGGTGGAAACCAATGTGTATAGATCAGGGGGAGAGATGCGTCGCACCACAGTATTCATAGAGAGATATGGCCTTGTGATTTGAAAATCAGCGGCAAGGAGAACAAGGAATAGGAGGATTGGAGTAAGGGCCGAGGGATTTGGGGGGGGGGGGGGGAGAGAGAAGCAGGAGAATAAGAAAAAGCCGCAGAAACAGAAGCCACAATAGTAGGAGCTTGGGGAGATGTCGATAATGAGGAAGCAGGAGGATGAAGAGAGAGGGGATGAAATTCCTGTAATAGCTATGTAAGTATTACACACTCACAGAAAGAGAGAGAGCGCGCGAGAGAGAGAAGTGCGAAAGAGAGAGAGGAGCGAAAGAGAGAGAGAGAGGAGCGAAAGAGAGAGGGGGAGCGAAAAAGAGAGGGGGAGCGAAAAAGATAGAGGGGGAGCAAAAGAGAGAGAGAGGAGAGAAAGAGAGGGAGAGAGGAGCGAAACAGAGAGAGTGGAAGCGAAAGAGAGTGAGAGGAGCGAAAAGAGAAAGGGAGGGGAGCGAGACAGAGGGGGAGCGAAAGAGAGAGAGAGAGAGAGGAGCGAAAGAGAGAGAGAGAGAGAGGGGAGCGAAAAAGAGAGAGAGAGGGGGAGCGAAAAAAAAGAGAGAGGAGCGAAAGAGAGAGAGGGGGGTGAGCAAAAGAGAGAGAGAGAGAGAGAGAGAGGAGTGAAAGAGAGAGAGGGAGAGGAGCGAAAAAGAGAGAGAGAGAAGCGAAAGAGAGAGAGGAGCAAGAGAGAGAAAGGAGCGAAAAAGAGAGAGAGGAGCGAAAAAGAGAGAGAGAGGGGCGAAAAAGAGAGAGAGAGGAGCGAAAAAAGAGAGAGAAGCGAAAAAGAGAGAGAGGAGCGAAAAAGAGAAAGAGAGGAGCGAAAAAGAGAGAGAGAGGAGCGAAAAAGAGAGAGAGAGGAGCGAAAAAAAAGAGAGAGAGGAGCGAAAAAGAGATAGAGGAGCGAAAAAGAGAGAGAGAGGAGCGAAAAAAGAGAGAGAGGAGCGAAAGAGTGAGAGTGGGGAGCGAAAGAGAGAGAGAGAGAAGCGAAAGAGAGAGAGAGGAGCGAAAGAGTGAGAGTGGGGAGAGAAAAAGAGAGAGAGGAGCGAAAGAGAGAGAGAGAGGGGGAGCGAAAGAGAGAGAGAGAGAGAGAGGCGCGAAAGAGAGAGAGAGGAGCGAAAAAGAGATTAGGAAAAAAGGGGAGGATATGAGAGATAGACAAAAGACTTCCTTCCTACCAAACACCCCTTCCCCCCCCCCCCCCCCTATTCTTTTCACCCCAAACAATGATACATACAACATGGAATGCCCATTTCACATTTCCAGTCTTCAAGT